AAGCACATTAATTTGTGGGAATCTATGAAATGAGTATCATTCTTTTAACAATTGTAGAACAATCAACTATATTAGTCATTTAGGATACCTTCTCTAAAAGAGCTTTCTTTTTGAGGGGGAGGAGGAGGAGGAGTGGCATTCAGAAAATGAAATGAAATTTAATTCAATTAAATCAACAAAATAGTTTTCCTGAAGGAAATTCAAGAAATTCTAAAAAACTAAGAGCAAAGAAACAAAAAAAAAAAAAGAAATTCTACTATTTTCAAGCCAATGTCAGTATTCCACACATCTGTTCATCTACTCTGTTTTATGACTATATTTTGACATATGTTTTATCTTTTCTGTTTTTGAAAGTCAGAGATCACTATGGGAAATTTGGAAAATATGAAAACATAACAAAAATGAAATCTGTTGTCAAGTAACCCAAACTTTAACTACTGTAATAATGTTAATACATTTATATTTAATATCAGAAAATCTTACTGATTTTTAGTTTTCATTGGATATAATTTATTATTTTAACTGTTTTCCATAGTAATTGGGCCATTAATTTTCTAAGTATTTTAGTAAATTATTTTTCAAAAGTTCTCTATGTCATTGAATATTTAGTATAATGTATGACTTTGAACATAACATTTCCTTTTTAAATTTGGAATTTAAAGTTTAAGTATAGGTAGTGTGTTTATGTCCCATTTCTCATCTCTAATTTTGAATGTTTTAATGTCCTTTGAATTAATCATTTTTCAAATTAATATGGCCTTTGAAAAGCTAGTACCAATATTATTTATTGAATGTATATATTTTTGTTTATGTTAAGTTATTTCTTTTGTTTGAAGTTTTTACTCTTGATTTCTTTTGGTCAGTTTTGTTTTTCTTTTTCTAACAGCCTAAGTTAATAATTTAGTAATTTTTCCTACTTTTGGAGCTATAAAACATTCTACCTTTGTGCTTTCAGTAATTTAAGGGTTTATCATATTGTATCCAAAGGAAAGTATTGAAATGCACTTAATTTTTTTATGGTGTAGTAAATAAACAGTCTTTCTCAATCTTGAGAAACATTTTCATTCCTATTTTTATAAAGTTCAATATATTTGGCAAACCATATAAAATTATCTTACTGTAGTTCTCTTTTTAAAAATTTGTCTATTTAGTTCTATAAATGTGAAAAACATGGACTTATAATGTCCCATAAAATTTGTATATTGTTTTCTTCTTATATCTCTAACATGTTTAAAAAATGTACTCATTGCCTTATTAATGAGGTAATAAGGTAGAGAATTATGTTGGCTAACAATAATGATTCTCACTTTATTTCCATTGATTTTTTATAGTCTAATTTTCTTTCAGAGTCTAGCAATAATTTAGCTATTTGTTTCACGAATATTAAATTTTTCTGTGTCTTAAATAGGAATTTGTAAGAGGTGTGTCAGGGATATTAAATAAATATCATTTTAAAATATAGGTTTCCCTGGTTCCCACTGATATCCATATTCTTTAATAAAATGCTCAAGAGCAGTAAAAATTTATGATCTTTCCTTATAAAGCAAATGTTTAAGCCCCACTAACTTTGGAGGTCTTTTTGATGAATTTTCCTTTTAATCTGGATCATCAAGGTTTATTTTAATGGGAAATATAATATTTTCTCCTTTAGTTAGTAATATTCATATCATTCTCCCAAAGTAATTTGTACATTTGTGTAATATTCAACATCTTGTGTGGTAACTAAATTGCTCCAAAGAGTAGTTTATGTCATGGCCATTGTATTAATGCTGTAAGATTCTGATTCACTTTTTAAGTGGGGCTTTGGTTTTGAAGAATATCATTTGTCAGAATATCGTGATCACATAAATATCAACTACTTCTGTGGCCAGAGAAATTCTGTCTCTTTTCAGTGACAGCTTGCTAAGTTTCTTTTATTTCTTCCATTTTGCCTGAAACTGAAGGACAGCCTAGGCAGGATCTTTGTTTTAAAAAGTTAACATTCCCATTTATTGCTCCATTTCATCTTATTTGAAGTTATAACTTCTCCATTACTTATTTGCCTAATTTGCATTTATTATTCTAAATCTCTTCTTGTAATAAATGAAATTTAAAGATATTAAAACTTGCGTGTAATTTAATTTCAGCTAAATATAAAAGCTCAGTCCTTAACATGGCGTTCTCAGTGATAAATCATTAGGCAGGCCCATTAATTGTTACTTTTATTGTATAACAAGGGCCTTATTCTTTCATTCGCTTAAATTATATATTGTTTTTTACTTTCAGAACTTTTGAGCACAATTTCAATTGCTCTGTTTCTAGATCATAAATATTAAATAATGATACTCCAAGTACCTTGTATAAAGACAAATGTCTTCTATTTTTCAACTTTTTTGGCTTAGTTAGCATTATTTCCCTGCTTACTTCTCTTTTCCTTTTTAGAAGTAACTTAGCTCCAATTTCCCTCATAAAGTTCTAGATAAATGATCTGGTCAGAGGCTTATTATTCTAATATCTAAGAAGTATCTCTCAAAGAGGAAATCAAAGATTCATTGAAAACTTGGGTCAGGGGATTTTTTTTTTTCTTCAGAGTAGAATCTTATTATAAAGGAAATATCTTAGAACACACCAGTAGTTCCGAAAATATTTAATGAGTAAATGATTATTATCCCAGAGGAATGAATCAATAATGTTCCTTGTAGTCTATATTTTCATTAGTAGTATTTAAGGCAACAGTGGAAGTTTAAATGTAATAGAGTTTTCTGTTCCCAAATATGGTGAAATTGTTTAGTATAGACACTAAGCTCATGCCCAGAGGAAGTAGAGAAAGTTAAATTAAAAAAACAAACCAAACAAATATCTATTTCATGGCATTAGAGAGATAATGAAGCAATCATGAACCTTCTTCCTTGACACACTAATTTTTTATCTTTTGAGTGCCAGAAGATTGTTTTAAATTTAGCTCTGCTTTTAGTAGCCATTTATTTTATATCTTAGACTGTAGCCTTGACCAGATTAATAATTCAGTAAATATTTTAAAGGGGGGAACTGAAAAACATTGGATTTGTATCTGATACCACTTTCTCTTTGGGATCATGGCCCCACACTTTTTGGCTGATTTGTATGTCCCATTGTATCTTTATCTTCTCTTTTATTTAATGTATGCTCTCCTCTTTATTATTTGCCTCTTTCTGTGCTGGAGAAGAGGTTAATTTGTTGCCCCCTACCCCTTTGTTCTTCAAATAATTATGAACATTTAATTCTTAATCATTCAGTGAATAGCAGCATTTGTTTGTATTCAACTCAATTGTACACTGAATACATACTGTATGTATTTGATTTCATTAGTTATCAAGAGTATATCAGTTAAAGCTACAATGCCATACCATTATACAGGGATAAAGGGATCTTCTATAAAGGGATGGCTATGGTAGGCAAAATTCTAAAATGTCATAACTCTAGCCATTGTTTAAGTCCCTTTACTGGGAAGATGATAGGACATCACTACTGTGATTATGTTACATCAGGTGACAAAAGGGATTTTCCATATGTAATTAAGGTTATCAATAAGTTGATTTTTGAGTGAATCAGAAAGGAGATAATCCAGGTGTCTGTAACCTAATCATATGAACCCTTTAAAGGCAGAGAGGGTTTGTTTGTTTGTTTCTTTCTTTTCCTAATTGGTAGCAGGAAAAGAAAAAAAAAAATCAAAGAGATTTGAAGCATGACGGGACTTCGATGTGAGGGATGTTCTCCATTGCTGAGATGGGTGGGCCGTGTTCCTGGGAGCTCACAGTGGTCTGCAGCCAGTGCAGTAAAGCAGACTTGAGTCCTACTGCTGAAGGAAGTAGATTCTGCTAACGACCTGAATAAGTTTAGAAATGAATTCTTCACACAGAGGCACTAGAAGAGAGACTGGTCAGGCTGACACCTCAATGTGGCCCTTGTAAGACCCTAATAAGAGAATCCAGTTGAGGCCAGTTGGACTGCTGATCTACAGAACTTTGTGAAAATAAATGAGTATTGTTTTGAGCTGCTAAGTTTGTGTTAATTTGTTATACAGCAACAGAAAATTAATACAATATTAAAATTTTAATAAGAAAAAACTGGTGAAACCACGTGTTGGTGCGGATGTGGAACAACTGAAATTCTTTGTTGTTGGTCATGCAAATTAATACAGTTAATACTGTCAGTTCAGAATACCATTTGGCAGTTTCTACCAAAGCACAGCATAAAACATATGAACTTATTTTAGAGACAATTACAGTTTTCTATATAGTTTTTTAATACAAATATATTTGCACATGTATTAAAAAGTACAAGAATGCTTATAGACAATTGAAATAGCCCAAACTGGAAATAACCTGTGTCCATTACCAATAAAATATACAAATAAATTGTGATATAATAATTCAGTGGAAAGCCACACAGTTATAAGAATGAAACAGATACTGCCATACATGGATGAATCTTACAAACATATATTGAATGAAATAAGATACATATAAAAGAATAGGCTTTCAAAAGAATATGATCCTATTTATATATAAAGGTCAAAAATAGCCACAATTTATCTATGGTAATATATGTGATAATAATAGCTAAGTTTTGAGGCTACAGTTTGGGAAGAGGTACCAGAAGATTTAGGATGCTGGTGATGTACTATTTATTGATCTTGATACTGATTTTAAGCAGGTGTGTTCATGTTGCAAAGATTTCATTTTACTATAAAGGTATGGCTTGTACACTTTTCATTCTCCAATGAAAAGCTTTTTTAAAAAGAGGCTATAAAGTGTTTCTGCTGTGGGCTTAAAATAAAGAAAAATTGCCCAAGGTTATACAGCTAGTGAGTGTGAGTGGAAAGACTTAGAGCGGAAAGTGATATTTAAGGATAATTTAATAATTAATGCTTTGATTGAATTTTATCTTTTATTTGACTGAAAATAGAAGAGGGAAAAAGGATAAGTGAGGAGAGCCCATAAATAATTTTGACATTTACAATTAATTTTTTTAAAAAACAGTTTGCCGGGAGGATTCATACCATTCTGTAGTCTCATGTGCTGCTGTAGTTCTCACTCCTATGGAACCGACAATAGAAATGAAGAAAAGAGAAGAACCAAAATTTCCTGAGCCTTCTAAACAGTAAGTTGTTCATTTAATTTTTCAGGGCCTTGTAAAATCAATTAGATAACTAATCAGAATTATATTGCTCATAAATTGTGAGTTATAATAAATGTGCTAATAGTAGTATAAAAAGAGAAGAAATAAATTTTTTACATTTTTAAAAATCAATCTGTTTCCTTTTGTCTTAATGAATAACTCCTGTGTCTCCTAATTTCATGTGTTTGAACCATTTTTCATTCAAGTTTCATTTCGGTAACTTATCTTAAGGACTCGGGTAAGTAGTCTGATGTGCTTTATTTCCTTAAGACTGTGATTGTGGATACACTGTTTTTGGAGTGCTTATTATATAGTTTTAGGCTTTAATGGTCTAAAATAGAATCAGTTTTTATTAGAAAATTTTGAGCCTAAAGTTGGTTTGCATTTTTATAAGGAAAATGTTACTATTTTAAAATATTTTCTTTAAATCACCACAAATTAAAAATTTACATGATTTAATGTTTCCATATTTTTGGTATTTAAACAGTTCAAGGTTTCATGTAAATTTAAATTTGATCTTATATTAAATAAATTATGAAGTTCTATTCTTATAATGGCCAAAGAGACTTAAATTCCTGGTAACAAATATAAGATACATAGACTTGAAATATTAAATAAACTAGGTTTATTTCTAGTTATACATTAAATAAATGAGAAGGAAAAACCTCTTGATGATTTTTCAAAGAAAATAGTACCATGCCTGATTTAAGGTCTCAGATTGAAAACTATGTGATATAAGAAGCTACCAAGGATTGTATGCTGACCACCACATGAACAGCTGGGATATACATTGATGCAACTTTTTTTTTTTAGGGGCAAGATATTTAAAATATTTTAATTTTAATTATTTTGGGTACATTCTCCATTGTATTACATTGTATTATATTTTGCTTCTTGCATGTCTTTCTATGGGAAAATAAGCTCTTAAAGACAGAGTTTTGTGGAATATGATCATGTTTGGTAGTCTTTGTAAAATCCTTAATGTTACATTTGATAATGTTGAATTCAAATGGAGCAATGTATGTATTTGATTGCATGAAGATATTTGGTATTAATATTCTCATTACAGAGGAGAGAAACTCTATCCAATTCAGAAAGTAATGATTGTAATCCAGTTTCAATACAATCTAAAAGTGAAAACAAATTAACCGCTCTTAATATAGTCTAATTTTTAGGTTCCAAAAGCCATCTTTTATCTAATAGAAGGAACATTACATTTGTTTGTCAATTGAATTATATTAGAAAGCTCAAATATGTTTTCCTGCTATATGTGTATAAAACTTTCCTCATCTATCAATTAGGGTGATATCACCACTCTTATTAATTATGTGAAATGATGTTGATAAAGGATCTGAAATCTAATAATGTATAAAGTGCTAATTATTTTGTGCTTTCCATAGATTCAGCTATCAACATATGGATAACTTATAGATATATTAGTATTATTTTTTTCCTGAAGGTGCTTCTGAATGCAAGACTAATATTTAAAGTTGTTGATCAGACTGAGAGTCTCATACAGGTTTTGCATCCCTTATCTGAAATGCTAGGGACCAGAAGTGTTTTGAATTTCAGATTTTTTTCATATCGTATAATATTTGCATTATATCAGTTAAGCTTCCCAAATCCGAAAATCTGAAACTCGAAATACTCCAGTGAGCATTTGCTTTGATCATCATGCTGACACTCCAAAAATTTTGGATTTTGAGGCATTTCACTTTTCAGATTTGGAATGTTCAACCTGTATGTCTAAAACCAATTAGAAATCTCTTCTGGTCCCCTTAACTTCTCAATTTTTTCTAACTTCCATATTCAAGTAAGGCTACCATCATTTTTCTTTTCTTAAAATCTTGTTGTGTTTCTTTCTTCACATCTCATATGCAATTAGTTATCAATTACTTGATTCATGTCTCCGTTATATCTTTATGACTATTTTAGCTGACCTGGAGGGCATATACATCTCATGTTTTAAATTCTTCTAATATGTACCTTCTGTTGTCATCTTGATGATGTCATCTATCAAATGAAAATTACATATGCCTTACATACCTCACGCTTTTATTTTGAGAATTAAATGATAGGTGTGAATATATGGCCAAGAACACGATATAAATATATAGTGATTAACTGAAAACTCTTTATTTGCCAATGAGATAAGTCCATTGCAAACTTGTTTCAGAAAAACATGGTGGCAATTACTGGTTCATGTAATTAAAAAAATATAAGGGTAGAAATTTCCTCAAGTACAGTTGAGTCTGGTCCTCAAAAGATTTCATCAAGCGTCATTCTGTTCTCTCTATGCATTTCTTTGCTTTCCTGAGTGGAGTGTTCATTTCCTGGGAGTTTTCTCTAATGGTGACATTGGTGCATTCAGCGGCAACTGGGATGGATTTTTATCTTTTCAATAAATTCAGTAGAAAGAGAAAAATGTATGTTAAAATCAAGTACTCTCTCCAATGTCATCGATAAAGTTTTTATGCAAGTTCTGTAGTTGGGTGGGAGACACATCGAAGAATAATATTACCAGCTGTTCTCCAGTTTTTCTTTACAGATTTCAAGGGGACATAGTTGTGTATGTTTTCAGGCAGACATTTATTCAATAACCCATCAAAAATAGGTAATAATAATTCTCGAGTGCTTGCATTGCGCTTGGCCCTATGCTTAGTGCTGGAGGTGTCAAGCTGTAAAGCTGGTGCTGTACCTCATGAAACTTAGAGTGTAGTCAGGGAAGCAGACATTAATTGCTTAATTTCCACAAGAAATGTATAATTGCAACTGTGACAATGGCTGTAATATAGAGGTATATCTTATCATAAGGGCTTTATGGTAAGAGATTTTTAATATAGCCAAGGAGGTCAGGGAACCTTCCCTGGGTAAGTGAGGATATTAGTTAACTCAGTGAAAAAGCAAAGGAAGAACATTCTAGCAAAGAGAATAGCTTGTTAAAGTACTCTGTCATGGAGAAATTGAAAGAAGGCTGGTGGGAAGAAAAGGAGTTAAGACGTATTTTAAGCAGGGCCCAGGTGACGTGGTAGGATTTGCCTTTTGAAAACTTTCTTCTTGTTTGTGAGAGACCAAATTGGCTGTGGTGGGGACAGGGTGAGATGGAACCAACTTGAGAGAGACAGATTGTCAGCATTTCTCCCCAATTCCTGGTTGAGTGACTTCACATTAAAAGCTTGAAATCAGCCACCAGGGGTAGGGGGCATTGTATTTGCACTATAGAAACTGGCAAATTCTATGAATCAACACTTTCCCCCTCCCCCAGAGAGCTAGTTGTTAACTATTATGAGCACATCACTAAATTGAGGACAGATTTAGTGGCTGTAGTGAGACCATTTGGGTGACTGCTAACAGTAGCTTGTATTAGGGAGCTGGCATTAGTGATGGTGAGATGTGAAAGGGGAACTAAGTCAATTTATATTTAGGAACCTTGGCAAATTAAATACAGTTATTAGACCTAATAGCTTATATTACTAAGTACTTGCAATAAAGATGAAGATATTATCTGTATTACTAATTGTAATTATGATAAAATGTGTAATATGTGACAATCCTAACATTATCTTGAATTAGTAATAATTTAATGAATGAAGAGTCTTCATATTCTTTTAATTTATATTGAGTAGTATCCATGGAACTATATAAATGGGATATACACACACTCACACATATAAATGCACTTTGCATAAAACTCCTTTCTGAATCACTGTCATTGATTCTCACTGAGTATAAGTAAATATTTGTACGCAATATAAGTACATCCACTTAGGTCTTTCTGTAAATTCTTATGATTCTTACTAATAATTTTCCTTCATTTACTGTCCACCACTTGGTGCCTTAAAATGCTTCCATTTAAAGAAAAAATCTGGTACTGACGCATGGATAGGTTAAATATCAGGAAACTACTGTAAGTATGAAACAGTCTTCTTCTCCATGTAGGTTTTCAAAAGAAACAGAAATTGTTTCATGATGTTGGTCAATTCAAGGGTAGAAACAGCTATTAGCAGAGAGAAGTAAGGAGATAAAATTTCAAAATGGGAAGAGCTGTTGCCTAAATATAAAAGTCTCTTCCACAGCTTTTGGAGGAGGTTATAGTTGGGAAAAGGAACTTTCTAACCACAAGTTTAATAGGGGATTTTTAAAAGAATCATTCAGAGTTTCAAATGTGTGCTCTGCAGTTGGAGACACAAGGGATAGATGTTGATTCCTGCCTGAGAACCTGAAGCAGACCTGCCCAGAAAATCTAGAGGGTGAAGAAAGGCTTTCCCACTGCCAAAGCAGTGCCATCTTGAAATCTAGAGCTGTAATTAAGGGGCTGCAGTGTTTTCGTGAGGAGGATGAGGAGACCCAGATTTTAGAGGCAAAGGGTTTCCATCCACCGACAACTGGGGAACTACCAAGAATACTGGCCTAGAAGGAGACCTCTGAAGAGACACTTTCATGCCCATTTGCTAGTCCCTGAAGCCAGGCAAGATCTCACTAAAACTCCTTTGATCACCTGACTACTGCTTCCCTCCCCTTCCCCTGGTGGCCAGAATGCATCCTGGGAGGCTGAGGAGGAAGCTTAATCTTCAGGGCTCTAACTTGCACTGGGCCCACATAAAGCCATAGAAGGGATAGTGGTATTTTTACATTTTTTTTCTATTTTAATGTGTTACTTTTTTCTTAAGAAAAAAAAAAAAACCCAGGTTTTATATACTTCAGGCCTTACAAAACTTGAATCTGTTCCTTTCTACCACTCCTCTTAAGTCTGGGCAGTCAGGATTCTTGACTTGTGCTCTGTTCCTGAAAGGACTGTGCTACATCCATTCTGCAGTTGCACACATTTTCAGAAGACAAGGTTCCAGAAAGCCAAGGGGTCCCACCCAACAGGAACCCAGGTTTCCAGGACCCACTGTGCTAGGATCACCATAGTAGTGGAGAGATTCGAGGGGCAGCTGGGCATTTACACTTAGGCTTGCCAGGTCTTGGCTGTGTAGGAG